CATTACTTCCAAGTTGTCTAGTAGTTCTTTAACCGATGTCAGCCCATGACAAAATCCTGTAACCATTTCCAATTATGTTTCACTTATTAAAAAACTATTATCTACCTCTTAAAACTCAGTGACTAGAGCGTTACACTAGTGATGACGTAAGAGTTATGCATCTGCATCTTCTCATAGTTCAGGCGCTTTTGTCTAAACAGACAGCTATCTCTCTCTCCTGTGTAGAATAGCCTCTCCTAGATATTTCTACTTGACAGCATAATTTTTTTAGCTTTAAGTTTGCTGGTCCAATAATACAGCCTTTAATCAAATTTGTGATTTACAGAGATCATTGAAGTGAATATATTTTTGAATCGACACTGGTCAGTGACTAGTGTAATGTATCTAGTCCTTTTTGTTTGGTGCAGACCAAATTTGGCATATAAGCCGTCCGAATGGATGATTCACTGTCGTCACTAGCTACCCATGTGGTGGTCTTTAGCAGAAGAATCCAAACATCTGAATTCTAGTTACTTGTAGTCTAACGGTAGAAGGTGAACGACTTGGTAAAGGAACTATATATATAATTCAATTTTAAACCTTCCCGTTCTTTGATTGAACCGAAGTTCTCGGTCTCATGTTGACGTGTTGGCTCCTTGTTCAGATGCTTCAACGGTGTCTAGTTATGTAAACTGAAGCTAAATGGTTGGTGGTGACTATCAATGGAATACAGGACAACACGCATTTCGACCTGTTTGCGACTGGTCAACTGGATGTGCCTGCGTTTCCCAGCCGGTGATGGTGTTCCCCCCACGGGGCTCAAACCAATGCCCATAGTTCCAAACTCCAAACTGTTATCCACTAGGCCAGTGCTAATTACAATCCACCAACTGACTTCAAATTACATGACCAGATATCGTCGAAGCATCTGCACGAGGAGTCGCCATATCGACCTGAGACCGATTATTTCGGTCCAGTCAATCAGCGGGAAAGTCTAGAATTGAATTAAGCAGTTGATAAGATCCGTTGCCTGAGAGGTGGCTGTTGTGGTCCAAGTGGCCAAACGGGTAGTGCTTTGGCGTTTGGAACCACGGGAACTGGGTTCGAGCCTCACTGGAAACACCACCAATAACTGGGGAATGCAGGCACATCCAGATGGCAAGTCCCAGATAAAACGAAATATGCATCCTGGATTCCACTGCTAGTCACCATTCAACAATTTGGTATCTCTGTAAAGCAAATTACGTACAGCTTATGTTTAACGCACCATTCGCACAGATCTTCCGTGTTGTGCCTGTTACTTCTGTTTCTTTGTGTTCCTTTCACGTCTCACCTGTATCTCCATAAGGCTGTATCACTTGTTTTCTCTGACATAATATCTATCTGCCCGCTATTTTTATAGCAGCCGATGAACGTCTCTTCATATACTACTGATAACCGTTATCAGTAGCACACGCCACAGTAATACTTGTTTCTTGCCCCCATAAACGACCTAGTACGGTCAACGTTTGGGTAGACTTCAGTCTTCTTCTTGAAATATCCCCAAGTGGACATGTGTTTACAGCATCAACTAGCCAGTAAATCCTATTCACTACCTTCAACTGGTGCCGAGGGTGTTCCTCACAAAGATGAAAGGGCTAATGACAACGTCTGACCCTTACAATCTGATTGGTGGACACTCAGATCTACCTAATTAAGGAAACTAGACGATTCTAATTCCAAACACCTCTATGGTTGTGCACATCATCGGTAGAACCTGAATGGAATAAATGGCCTTTGAACCTGTGTTGGTCAGAGGCAACCATAGGAATTCAGATCCTAACGCTAGTCAACTGACTTGTGGATCAGAATTCAAATCAAAGCTTCAAGAAGGGGTCGTCGCCTTAAGACACCGAATTGCTTCAGTCTGATCGGCAACTCACTATCCCATACCTCTCATTAAAACTACCAGTTTTTGTATGGGGTATCACTTGGTGCCCATAATGCACCAAGTTCATGTTTTAATAATAATAATGTCGGTGGTTGGATGGTAAAATGCTTGCCGATCTCGCAAGTGTTGCGGGTTCACTTCCAAACCACGAGTAAGCACGTAAAAGAGAGAAGGTCACGGGCAAGGCCAACAACAATCAAGCCTCTTAGAAATAAGACCACATTTCACTGGAGAGGCAGGTGTATTCACCTGAAGAGTCATAAACGGGACAAAAAGTTAACTGTGGGTTCTCTTGTTAGCCATTACTGACCAGGTGAAGCTTAAACTTAATAATATACGTATAAAAACTTGGGCAGTGTGATAGTATGTAACTGCGTACTAATTTGTTTACTAGAAATATGAAACACATAGTGAAGCAGTATTCTTCACCGGATGACAATCATAACCATATCAGTTATAACCCTAGCTTCGAAACTTTACTTTTATAGTTTTCTGTATTCGTTTATATTGATACTAAGGGTAGTAGAATTCTCCAGATAACTGGGACAGGTGTTGAATCATTCCTATTTCACGTGTTTTCAGTTGATTCAACCTTTCCCTCCACCCTGTTATATAAGTTCTTAAGACTATCATTTTATCCCATCCTATTGTATGGTTGTGTGTAATTGCATGTGGTGAGTGGTATAGCTGAACTATTCTCTAGATTTCTTATCTTATTGGTGACAACCAACCTAGATTTTGCAAGGTTTTGTGCTCTGCTTGTCTGACTAACTATCCCCGTTGTACTACTTTGACCTACGTATTTGACCTGACAATCATTGCAGGTAGGGTATTAGATAAACTAAATTGTTTTGTTTAATTGGCTCAACAGGATTGATCCTTTAACTGACAAAGCTTGTTTCTAATTGAGTTTGCAGATTTGAACGCCAGCCACTTTTGTTCCCGCATTGTTAAGAATGCTTCGTGAGGTTTCAGAAGTTCCTTCTTTGTATGGGAGGAAGTACTACTGATGATTTATATTCTCTATTGTTGGTGTTGTCATTAATATTATTGTTATTAATATCACCAACACTACTATTATTACTAATTTTCACATTTTCCTACGTACTACCTGATTAATTTGTCAGGGTAATTAATAAGTTTCAAAGCTCCTCTTATATGCCTCACTTCCTGTCCTAGATTTTCGCTGGTACTACTTAGTTTTATCTAAATAGTTCACCCATCCTATTTTTATTGATCGGAAATCCAAATATCGATTTGAATGTGTGTGATAATGATTGATGATAGGATTGTGAACATTGCTAGGTTGTGTTCGAAACTTTGTCATCCAGTAAGTAATAATGTTTCACTGTGTGTGATATATCTGATAAATAAATAAATAGATAAATATAAAAGCCTAAACTTGTTCAAAACGTTTGGAGGATTTCATTATGAACTGACATTAGTTAGAGAATGTGTACCTGAGGGAGCAGTTACATTCGGAGAACAGAAAGAAGGGCTCACCTCCGATTTTCTGAGCATGTGCCGAAAAGCCTACGTCTCAAGGGAACAAACTCTTATAATAGCGCTATTACCAGACATCTCCTCGACGCGGGTCATGAGGTGGAAATCGAGAAATCCTTCAAAATTATCAATAAACAAAGGAGCTCCATTCTCCTCAAGTTTCCATCAAACGCTTGAAACCAGATATATGTGTTCAGAGAAAAGCAGTCATAAGTCTTTCCTTTCCACGGTGACTGGATGTCTTTATTCTTCCCTTCATTTGATTATGTAATCTTTGGCTTTAACCTCAGCCCCCCCCCTTTTATAATTTGTAATTTTAGTTGTCACTTGTTTCTATGATTTCAGTTGAACTCTGTACCTTGTAACCTAATTTATTAGTCATTCAGCATCTTACGCATCTCTCGTCTTTATTACGTAACTCCTTTACCATTGCGTGAACACATTTATTTTGTTTAAACTTGAACTGCCTGTGTAAAAAACTATATAAGCGCAATTTTCTGAGCACTGTTCACTGACTGTGGCACTTTCTGTCAACTGACATCATAAAAAAAGTTTACAGGTATGTTAAAACCTCATAATTTATTTAGACTGTAAGCAGCTGATGAGAAGCCAACGAAATAAACAATGATGGTGTAACAACAGAAGACAAGGGCCAGGCAACAGATCGTTTTATTATAAAAATCAACACATATTTATATATATTTCACATACATTATTATAGCTTATGCAAGTAGAAAAGCGCAGTCATCTGATTGGTTGTTTATCAGAAGTTAGGCAGATAAACGCAGGCTTCTGATTGGTTGTTTCGGGATTCCTTGACAAATTGAGTTCTCTATCTGCGAATCATATTTTGCCACGTTAACTTTACTGTGATTGGTTGTTGAATCAGCCTTGTTCATATTTTCTCACGGCCCATATTAGTGACCTAGACATTAACGTAGATTAGTGTCAACCAATCGGCTAGCAGCCTGCTCTCACCACAATGGTACCATATTATTCTGCACAAGCCACCACTCTTGTTCTCGCTTTATTCAAATTCATCAAGGAGAATAAATGCATAAAGTTAGAGAACCATTGGAAAACCAACCACAGGCAGTACTGAAAAGACAGCTGTTCCGTTCGCCTAGTTTGGGAGTCTTCATCAGGACGCGCCCACATCACGGGGTTCGAACCCAGGGCCTTCTGACTACAGTGCTAGCGACCTCGTAGACCATTAAACCACTGGAACCCGATCTAATGCTCAGTCCATGAATTCCAACTTCTGCCAATTCATAATATGTCATGACCACTTCGCAATGTCTACTTCAATGAGTAACTATTTTCGCCTTTTCAAGCGCCTCAAACTAGAACGAAACAGCTGTCCATTTCTCCCAGGTATTCCACTGGTTCTCTATCTAATGTAAGGTCATGATGAAATCGTCCAACCAATCAAACAAAATGCATACAAAGCCATTACTGGAAAATTATACAGACTAAGACGTAAAGTTACTGCTTCCATCGTTTGTCTACCGTCTATTTAATAAACACGACTCTACCCGCCACTCATCCAATACATATATCCTTCTCTCTGCTTTTTCTTTGTATTTAGGCAAATTATTTGTGTATGGGCTCTTGTGCGTCAACTGGTGTTTCACAAGCTGCAAGTCCGGCAAAAAGTCAACTATCGAGTGGAATTCAACCGAGTTCAGCAATATTACAAGAAAATATGAATCAGATAAGTACACGAGGTACAGGAGATGACGTTGCTGGAGCTGGTGCTGGCGGTGGATTGGATGATATACCTGTAAGAAGTATGGCTAAAGAGACATCAGAAAAAAGTGGGAATAATTCCAAGAATACCACTAATCTCTTATCTCCTGCAGATCTGTCAGAATATGGAATTGGTAAGTAGATCAATCTGGAGGGATGCTTATCCTTGCTTCTATTGTATCTTAAGCGTTTGATGAAGTTTTTAAACTAAAGTTTACTTATTGAATTGAATTTTCGATTTTCCCGTCGATTGATTGGACCGAAGTGCTCGGTCTCAGGTTGACATGTCGGCTCTCGTGGCCCAAGTGGTCTAGTGGATAACGCTTTGGCGTTTGAAACTATGGGTACTGGGTTCGAGCCTCGGTGGGAACATCATCACTCACTGAGAAATGCAGGTACATCCGGCTGACGAGTCCCAAATAGGACGAAATGCGCTTGATCCTGGATTCCACTGCTAGCCACCATCCACCAATTGTATACTAAAGTTTACTTAGTTTAAATCTTCAAATATTTCCATTTTTAATATTAGAACAAGATATATAAGCGAACAATATTGTTGTTTTCAATTACATCTTCATCAGGCTTTACTCTAATTTACATAGATTTATATATATAAAATTTTCACGAATGACGGTGATTTTGTGGATCAAATAATAATGTGGTAAATGTTTTGAACGAAGTTAATAACGATGATTATAATGATAACAAAATATTGATAATAAGGTTTATGCAGGTGGCGATAAGAAGAATAACAAAGGTAGTAAGTGATATGTGTATATGTAGACAATTCAATAAATAAATAAATCAGGTCAAATTTTAAAAGTTACGTAATACTAAAGGTAGTTAAAGTGGACAGATAATCAGAGTTTAAATAAATATCATAAAAATACGAAGGTGATGGAAAATAAGGAAGGGTCGGAGGCTTTTGAATAGAATTCAACTAGGCTAAGCAAAGAAGAGACAAAGGTAGAACAAACTTCTTTTGTTGTATGCAAAGACTAGGATTGTCCTTTCAAAATAATTCCCATAGATTCGGTTATGTGTTAAATACAGATTTGAATTCCATTCGAAAGACTCGTTGAAATGCGATAGATAACTTTGAAGGGACTTCTTCTTTTGTCCACTTGGTGACCGCTTTCATCAATCAAATGAGCCAAAATAAAAATTCCTATAGATTTTATTTGACCTTTTCCGAACTATGAAGGAAGATGCTCATTAATGCGTTTGTTAAACTGTCTAGTTAGTTGTTTGCCCTATATATCTCTCTCTCCACAACAGCAACTAAATTTATAGATACACATAGAAGTGGCACAACTAGGTAGCTTGTCTTTCACTTGAGCAATCATAATTGGTCGGCGGCTGAAAAATGACAAACAAAGGGTGTCGGCAGTATAAATCCATTTTATCGCTCTTGATAATCTGAGATGTAAGACTTCGCTAGCCAGGTCTAAATCTATGTAAATTAGAGTAAAGATTGATGAAGATCTAATTGAAAACAACAATATTGTTCGCTTATATGTCTTGTTCTACTATTTAGTTTATCCGTGTTAAGCTAAAGTACATACTTTGAGGGCCAGTGAGTGGAACCAATTTGGTGTTTGTGTGTGACAGGAGGATATGAGAACTTATGAACAATCATGTAGACAGATAGAGACGACTGTTGAGAACAGAATGGAATGGAGATGGGCTGCTGAAAACCGGTATGTTACTCGGAACCTAAGGGAACAAGGATAACGACACATTTTTTGACCCACCCTATTTGATAAGCACAATGGTATCTCTTGACATGACGCGTATCAATCAAGGAAAGTTTTGGAAGCATCATGATTAATGTGATGGTATCAATAGAAGTAGTTATAGCATGAATCAGTTACTTCACTTAACGGAAGTCATTATTATTATTATTAATATTTCCTTTAATTCCTAGAGGAACATAGGGCTTCAGCCGCACGTAACCATTGCCTTCGGTTCTCTGCTAGAGTTTTCACCCAGCTCTAAGTCTGTCCACATACTTTCATCTCCTCTTCACATGACCTCCTCTAAGTCACCCCACCATGGGAAGACCAACTCGCCGCTTCCCTCTCAGGTTCCACTCGAGGGCTTGTCTAGTGATGTCGCTTTATGGTTTCCTCAGGGTGTGACCAATCCATCTCCATTTCTTCCTGCCTATTTCTTTCACAATCGGTTCCTGGTTGGTTCTTTCATTGGCAGAGATCTCTCCCTGTTGCTGATCTTTTCTGGCCGGCCATCTGATCTTGAGTATTGAGCGAAGACAGCTGTTGATGGAGGTCTGGAGTTTGTTCGAGGTGCTCTTCATGACGCGCCAAGTCTCTGATCCGTGCAACAAGTAGCACTGACTTCACATTCGAGTGGAAAATCCGGATGTTATTTTTGATTCTGAGTGCTGTTGACCTCCACATAGACTTGAGAGTAATGAAAGCTTGTCTTGCTTTCCCGATCCTCGAACTTTGATATCCTCATCAGTTCCGTCCGCCTGTAGTTGAAACGATGCTTCCCAGGAGGGTGGGTAGGTGAAAGATGTTGTTTCTTTCAGGTTGCTCCCATTTATGCTGGCTGATTGTTGTCTGTTGCTGTTAGTTAGGAACCTTCATCACCTCTGTTTTCTCAATGTTCACCAGAAGTCCTACCTTCTCTGGATACTTGTTCTGCCAGCTTGTTGCTTTTCACTTGCATATCTTCTAGTTTGTGGGAAATCAGACATATATCATCGGCGAAGTCCAGATCCATCAATTTCTTTTTGTGTGGATCCATCTTATGTTCGTTTCCTCGTTGCCCACTCTCTCTGTCACGTGATTACTGATTTTTCAGTCCAAGAGATCTACAGTCTTTAATGAGTTCATTTCGTAACAAAAACTGAGATGAATCACATCCCTGAAAACTAACAATTAACATGAAAGGTAGGAAGGTTGGGTGTAAGGCTAGTACTCTCACCTCATGGAACAAAAAACAACAACATGGAAACTTAAAACTTCAACAGCTTCAGGCTTTATGTTCCATTTTGAGTAAGAGGAATGAAAATTAAAATTGCTGTTTCTTATGGGATTATGAAAATATTAAAAAATATTATTAACAAACAACGATTTACAGGTTTCTCTGCATTTTGATTTTGTTAAAATGAACCTGCTTTACTGTCAATATACTAATGAGTTCTCCCTCAAAACAACTGGTATTCCTTTTGTTGACTATCACAGTCCCTGAATCTTACCATCAAGACAGAAAATTGATACGTTTGCTAAGACTTATTTTCTTCAAGTGTTGGTTTGGAGGGACTTGGTTGGTTACAAGGTTGATAACGAGTTGACATCTTAGTTAGAAAAGCACTGGAAATCAGCATGGAGTACTGGAAAGCCTTTTTTGTGTTTGCAATCTTCAGCAGTACGCATTCATCATAGTGTGAACCCAGGAGCTTCACGTTACAAGACAAGCTCGTATACTATTTAGCCTTTGAGACCAGATCCAATGGCCAGTCTAAAAATTTCAACTTCTGTCAATTTGTAATATGCACAGCTCAACATCCAGTTAAAGTCAACGGAGATTTATCTTTCTTTTAGGTGACTTAGTGAACCCCGCAAGTCAAAAATTCGTAATTATTTTATTATTCCTTTGGGTTTCGAGTAGAATATACGCCTTCAATAACACATATCTACTTTTGCAATTGATAGTGTTCTCTGAGCTCCTTGTTTTAATTGCGGAGCTTTCATCGTCTTTCTGGACGACATCTTCAGCGCAGTATTTAGGATAAAGTGAAATGATTTAAATTACTTCATGAGTCTCCCGGTAACCATCTTTAGATATTTATTGACCGTTTTCTATTGATTGGGATTTTAAACTTTCTGATCACCTGATTTACTTCTTATTAGTTGGTATATTTCATCTATATTAACGTGTTTATTAATTGCGTTTTCATTTGAGTACCAGGCTTCTAGGAATTCCCTGGCACATTTGGTGGTGTTTCCACTGTTTAAGATTTTGACATTATCCCAATCAAATTGATGTCCATGATCGTCTGAATGTATTGATACTAAAGAATTTATATCATGTCTTTTCACGGCTGATTTGTGTTCCTGGATTCTTATTCGAAGGGGACGCCCACTTTGGCCGATGTAATGTTTGTTACAGTTCACACAATTTATTTTGTAAATGGTGTTAATTTCATCTCCTTTTTCTATCGGATCTTTTGGTTTGCATAAGATGGAATTAAGCGATTCAGCTGGTTTGTGTGCTACATCTATATCAAACGGTTTCATTATTCTAGCCGTTATTTCAGAGATGTTTCTGATATATGGTAGGATGAATTTCTTTTTGGTCTTTGGTGATGGTTCTTTGTTGGTGCTTTCATTCGATTTTAAACACTTTTTGATGAAATTTTTTGGATAACCATTCTTCTTGAACACCGTTTGTAAGTATCTTTCTTCCATTCTTTTCAACTCTGGTGTGCTACAATGTGTTTGAATTCTTCTAAACAATATCTGCACACAGTTTCTTTTGTGAGTAATTGGATTGTTGCTAGTATAGTTGAGTATTTGACCTGTATGCGTTGACTTTCTGTATACTTGTGTTTCTAAATTTCCTGTGTTGGTTTTCCTGATTAAGACATCTACTTTCTTTTATTCTCTGCTATCATCATCAACCGACTACCCCCACTATTGCCCATAATCTCTAGTTCCCTCCTCCGCACAAGATCTCCTCCATGTTACATTCAAAGTGACGACCCAGCCGTCGTTACCCATTCGGCAGTTGTATGCAAATGTCTGTAACTTGTTGGAAATGCTTTCCGTGACGCTCAGTGAGAGTTTCTTACTCTCATAGAAAAGAAGTGACTAACTTCACATTTGTGTTTAAAATTTTATTATTGTTCTGTATGCTTGGTGCTAAGGTTTCCGAACCTCGCATAGCTTACTAGCTCGCTAGTTTCATAGACTGTCTAAGGCCCGGGTAGAGAGGGAAGGTTTGGCGTGGGCTAGCAACTCTACCCAACAAAACAAATCAAACTTCAACGCATTATAAAAGTATTGCAATTACATAAAATATAGAAAACAATCTTACTATTCGCTGGAATCGGAGAGGCGAAATGACTCGGGCTCTTCAAAGCTTTCGGAAAGCCAAGATAAGAATGGACACATGGAATGTACTTACAAACTAAGAGGCTTGAGAGGCTGCATAAGTACACAAATAAATGATAAGATCTGTTATAGAAATGCTGGAAATCTGTGAGAGTAGATGGAATGGATTTGGACTATCAAAATTGTCAACTGGTTAGCCAGTAATGTACTTCGGTTATCCAGACGACAACCACGAGCACAATGAGGCAGTGGATGGCTATAATGATGCCGCCAGTGGTAGCCAAAGCCCTAATGAAATGTCGACCAATTTCATCCGGTGTTATGACAGTAAGATTCAGCTCAAAAGGAAGGAAGGAAGATTACATTTTCCCACTAGAAGCATGAATTTATGTCTGTTGATAACTGGAACTTAAAATTGTTCGGCATTACTTAATAGCAAAGCAAAACATATCGTGCTCACTGCTATATGGGTGAGCAGTGTGTATCTACAACTTTGAAAGTATTGATATCTTCTTAAGGATTCGAACCCACACTAACCAGTACCGCACTCAAAGGAGTTATCAATGACTTATTTGAGCTAAGACCACTGTAAAGGGATGCACTTTCAAATCACTGTGAAGGTGCCATAAATTTCATTAATAATGGAAGATAAGCGCTGCTATTCAATGTAAACAAGTCCAAGATCTTTAAATTCCTAACACACAGTTTCGAAAGGGTAATGGCTGAGTCTAAGAACAGACTAGTTTATGTCGGTCGGGGAAGGGATTAACTACATCCTTTTGAGTTGTTGAAACTGAAATTTTGACCGATTTGAGACATTTAGACAATAATTAACTTTTATGTGTATAGTCAATTGCATTACACTTCCCAGTTAGTTGTTAACACGTAAATCCGGCAACTGGAATCTCAGAGAATGGGATAATTATTTAGAACTCAGTGTTCAACAAAATGACTCTCTTCAACGTATTTATTGTCAAGCTGTGCAAATGATTTCATATACAGAGAGGTTCATTATAACACTAGTGTTAAGTCACTTCTTCTATAACGGTCAGAAACTTGGTACGCGTTTCATGAAAAAGATTTCTGACAGGTCACTTCGAACTTCTTCGAATAACTGCCTTTGACGGCTCCATACTGAAGATCCAGTGGCCAGAAAGAAACTCCGTAAACGAACCAATCAAGAACCGATCGCTCAACAAATATGATGAAGAAAATGAAAATGGACGGAGCTCACGCTTGAAAGACCATCAAACAACATCTCGCAGTGAGAGCCATCGTTCGAGTGAAATCTGAGCAGGAAACGATGAGTGACGTATGTTAGAGTGACATAGGATAGATCGCGTGGGCAGTTGAAAGAGGCAATGCGAGACTACGAGCAATCATGGGGTCAGCTGAAGAAGTCACAGAAAGCAGGACATATTGGAGATGTTCTCTTGAAGCCACATGATTCACTCGGAACCTACGGGAACAGAAATTAATAGCTTTAATAATAATAATGATAATGGAAGAGTTATTCGGATCGGGTCCCAGTGGCTTAATGGTATACGAGCTCGCCTTGTAACCGGAAGGTCCTGGGTTCGAATCCCGGTGGGTGCGTACTGCTGAAGAGTCCCAAACTAGGATGAAACAGCTGTCCAGTACTCCCAGCTGGTTTTCCAATGGTTCTCTAACTAATGTCGGCTCATGATGAAATCCAGAAACCAATAAAATCCCTACAGACCAACACTTGAATTATTCGAATATTTGAATAGACCGTGAAAAGAGATATAAATTGACAGGATTAGTAGGCGATTAAAAGATTACGTAAAATGATAAGAAGTTTGTGGAGATGGAATTTAACACTGCAAAAAATATATTGAATTAAAGTAGCAAATGGGACAAGGGAAATAATACTGGACACCATTCAAAGGGAGAATATATAATGGAGAACATTTGTGGCTCAGGTGGATGATCCCGATGGAGTTGTGTTCTCTGAGCTGAATGATTCATAGTTGCCAAGCTTTCCTCACTCTACTGGGTGACATCTTCAGCGTATACTTCAATTTGAAGTGAGCTCTTAGATTTCTCCACGAGTTTATAAGTCATCTCTACCGGTGACCTTGAAGGTGATTGGTTGATTTCGTGTGTTTTCATACTGTCCAGTCTAATTCTGTGTTGGTATTGATTGTTTCCTTGACCTGAACTTTGACCCTTCATGTGTGAGATTTCCTTCTAATAGGTTGATAAATTTTGTCTGTGCCAATGTGTCTGTTGATTGACGATCTACTGAAATATCAACCAGGCTTCTTTAAATTCTCTCGCATTCTTGCCGTTCTTTTCTCTGTCTAATATTTGAAGGTTGTCCCAGTCGAATTGATGTTCGTGGTTATCTGTATGCCAAAGTATGTCTGTTGGCCAAGGTGGACGTCCTCTTCGTCTTCGCATTCATGAACCACAACCACAGTTATCAACTCGACTGGCACAAAGTTCAAATATTAGACACAGGAAACAGTAAGATTGCTAGAGAAACTTTAGAAGCCTGCCTGGTACTCCAGTGAATTCGTCAGCCACTTGACACATCGACAATGACAAAATCCACCAACCTATTAGAAGGAAATCTCACACATAAAGGGTCAAAGTTCAGGTCAAGGAAACAATCAGTACCAACACACAATTAGACTGGACAGTATGAAAACACACGAAATCAACCAATCACCTTCAAGGTCACCGGGAGAGATGACTTATAAACTCGTGGAGAAATCTAAAAGCTCGCTTCACAAATTGAAGTCTATGCTCTGAAGATATTGTCTAGTAGGGTAATGAAAACTTCGCAACTATGAACCATCTAGCTCAGAGAACACAACCACACCACAAAATGAGAAGAATGGTATCATTTGCAGTAATAAGTGCAAGTTATATGAACTAGATGGAAGATTCCTGGCCAACAGCAGCAGCAGCCACAAAAGACAACAATCAGCCAGCATAAATGGGAGCAACCTGAAAGAAACAACATCCTTCACCTACCTACCGACCTGGGGAGCATCGTTTCAACTACAGGCGGACGGAACTGATGAGGATATCAAAGTGTGAGGACCGGGAAAGCAAGACAAGCTTTCATTACTCTCAAGTCTGTGTAGAGGTCAACAGCACTCAGAATCAAAAATAACATCCGGATTTTCCACTCCAATATGAAGTCAGTGCTACTTGTTGTACGGATCAGAGACTTGGCGCGTCATGAAGAGCACCTCGAACAAACTCCAGACCTCCATCAACAGCTGTCTTCGCTCAATAGTACTCAAGATCAGATGGCCGGCCAGAAACGATCAGCAACAGGGAGAGATCTCTGGCAATGAATGAACTAACCAGGAACCGACTGTGCAACAAATAGGCAGGAAGAAATAGAGTTAGGTGAATTGGTGGCCATACTCTGAGGAAACAAACCATCAAGTGAGTGACATCACTAGAAAAGCACCTGAATGGAACCCGAAAGTGAAGCGGTGAGTTGGTTGTCAGTGCAAGGGTGACTTGGAGGAGGTCATGTGAAGAGGAGATGAAAGCGTGTGGGCAGACTTGGAGCTGGGCGAAAACGTTGTCAGAGAACCGAACGCAATGGGGACGTGTGGCTGAAGCCCTTTGTACCTCTAGGAATCAAAGGAATTGATTATAATATAGACTAGATAAACAAAATGAATCATAAATAAATGATTATCCCTCTATGTTCAAAGTAGAAATATAGGACTCTACATATCTCTTTTTTACATAAATGTCTGGTTTGAGTTTATAAATGACCAAGACCTCCTCTGTCTTTAAACGTTTCGAAATACATAAACCTGACAAGTGAGCAGTGAAAGCGACAAATGATCTTAAAATCATGTTTGGAGTCTGTAAATTGACAAGAGTTGACCAAGTATTCTAGAATATGGCTTCTCATACCACTCCTTTCTTCATCATAAAACCATACTGAAATATGCTCTGGTATCCATATGGACAGTATTCTCTGGCTATGGCCTATGTACCTAGTCCTTGGCAAGAGCAGGTGAACTGATACGTACACATGGAAGCAGCTAGGCGGGGGATCTTATTTTTGACACTGAGAAAGAACCAACTTACCGCTAGTAAAGCTCAACTAGAGTTAGGCTACAGAGAAATTCCTCTTACTGAGTGATTTATAAAGACGATTTTTGAACGTATCTGAAGCCTTTCATATTGTGGTAGGAGCTGTCTGCAAGCTGAAACTGTAGACAACAATTTACTTCAATGTCTACGTCTTGAATCGGGGTCATAAGAAAAGAACAATAATAAAACCTAGCCTTGAGGAACTCACCAACCAATCACAGCAGACTTAACGTGTGCAAATACGATTCGCAGATATATGGCTTAACTTTCTAAGAAACGGTCACAAACAGTGCATAATAACCTTCAGCGAGGAAACAATTAGTCAGATGACGTTGCTTCTCTGATGGCAATAATGCACATAATAAATGATCTGTTGTCTGGCCCTTGTCTTCTATCGTTACAATAGTAAAGACGGCTCTCTTTAGAATTGAGTCAGAGGCTAGTCAATATATATTATTTTGAGTAGCCATAAATCTGCAATTATGATTTTTAAAAGACGTTGTGAACTTGTATATTTGTTTTAAATCTACCATTTTTTTTAGGATTGAAAGATGTACCCTTAAGGACTGGTGATAATATGACAACAGATGAAGAAATCGATATAGAATGTGTCAATTCAGGTGTATCACAATTTTTCTATAGAAATTTAACCACTTGTACTTTGGGTCAATATGCACAAATACCAAATGATACAGATATGTTGAGATCAGTGAATACACCGGAATCAATAAGAGCATGTTATGTAAGGTAAGTACAATTCGGAACTCTTATGCACATTGATGCGTAAATATTTATGCAAAATGAAAACCTCCATTGAGATATATATATATATATATATATAGTGAGAGATAGAATTGCAGATGAAATATGTCTAATGACATATAAATTCGAAAGATTTCAGGCGAAAACCACCAAACTCACAGAAGCTGGCAGCGAAGACAGGACTCCAAGTGAACATAGACAAGACAGAGGTGGTTATGAAGAGATAACTAACCGACCAACCAACAGCAAATCCAACTAGCACCAATCACTATAATAAAGGTTTATGTACTTTTCAATGAATGAAAAACAAAACGATATTGCCGTTGTTTTTACTAACGTTTCGCTATTTAATGTTGCTGCTAATAGCTTTATCAAAGCAGCTATTATTAAACCGGAATTTACAAAATCCACTCAGCTTATATATTAAACAAAGAGTTAAGGGGTGAGAAAATAGACAAGTGAGGTTAAGTTAAAGGGACAAATATTGAAAGTTAAAATAGCAATGAAGATCACTAAATCAAATAACAAAAGTTAATAGTACGTCTGTTATGATATCAAAATAAAGTTTACTAACTTGATCAGCGTTAAAAGTGAACTTGATTTGGACATATATATAGCACCAATCACCATCAATAGGAGAGATTTTACAGAGATCAGTCACTTCCTTTGTGTAACAACAGAAGAAAACGGCCAGGCAACAGATCGTTTATTAAGGAAATCAACACGTATTTATATATATTTCATGTACATTATTATAGCTTATTCAAGCAAACAAACACACTCTTCCGGTTGGTTATTTCTCACAGAAAGTTGACCCTGCATCTCTTTATGAGTATTTCTTGAATGTGAAGTCTTCTATATGTTACTGCATCCGCCTACACAAAGTCTGTTGTGGTCGGTTGTTGAATCAGTCTTTGTCCATATTTTATCATGACCAATGTTTGGGACATAAACATTGACGTAAATTAATGTCTACCGAATTGGCTAGCAGCCTGCTCTCACTACACCTTGACTTATCTAGAGGAAGTATCATTTCGACTAAAGGCGGAACGGATGAAGATGTCAAAGCCAGCCAACCAGTCAGAATCGAAAAGGATAAATATGCCTTCATCAACCTAAAAACCAGTCTGGAAATCTTTCGCACTCAACATGAAGAATAAGATTCTCATTTTCAACACCATTGTGAAGTCATTAACTTCTTCTATATTGGTTATAATCTTGACATGTATGTCACGAAAACGATTTTCAACAGTCTGCTGAAGGCTTTCATCAACAGCAGCTGCCTTCACTGGCTCCATATTCAAGATAAAATGGTCAGAAAGAATTGGTAACAAAGAAAATGTGGGAACAAACTAACCAACAGCCGATCGTTCAGCAAGTGGATATGTAGGAGAAAATGGAGGTACATTGATTGTACATACTTCGAGGAAGCCGTTGAATGACATTGTGCGCAGTGCAGACCGTTGCACGAGTGTAATCCCAATGGTGAGAGCAGGCTGCTAGCCGATTGGTTGACACTAATCTACGTTAATGTCTAGGTCACTAATATGGGCCGTGAGAAAATATGAACAAGGCTGTTTCAACAACCAATCACAGCAAACTTAAATGTGGACAAATATGATTCGCAGATAGATGGCTCTACTTTCCGAGAAATATCGAAAACAACCAATCATAAGACTGTGTTTGTCTGCTTAACTTCCGAGAAACAACCAATCAGAAGACTGCCTTTTTCTGCTTGCATAAGCCTTATTAATGCACATAAAATATATGTAAATACGTGTTGATTTTCGTAATAAAACGATCTGTTGCCAGCCCTTGTCTTCTGTTGTTACAGCGACAAGTGGGTCACTGGTGTGAGGGTGACATGGAAGAGATCATTTGGCGAGTAGGAAGGGATGAGAGATTATGGTCTATTGTGGTCCAAGCTGAAGAGGACGGAAGAAGATAGAATAAAGTGGAGATGTGTTGTTGAAGGCCTATGTTCCACTCAGAACTCATGGGAATAATAATAATAATATAGTTAGTCGTCTTGGCAACAAAAAGAATATGTACCAAGTTATGTCATCAGGTCTGTAAAGTTTAGACCACAAATTACGCAACTTACACACACAGATAATCGGGTCGAAACTAAACTCAAATAGAAATAAGTCAGTTGAGCGGTGTAATAAAATTGAGGAGGTTGAGTAGAAACTCAACTTTGATTGAGTGACAGTCAAGTTAACCATACTGGTAATTACTGAGGTGGTGGAAGAAAACAGTACAGTCAATGTGTACACAAATAAACTTGCTCAACGGTTAGTGAAATTATCGAATCCGGTCAAAAAGACAATTCTGTAAGTATGCATTAAAAGATACATTTCAAATGATTCAATACCTTGATAGTTGTAATATTATAAATAAAAACATAATTATTCTTTTGATGTGAACCCTTTATTCACTAAAGTATCTTTATTTAAAACAGCTGATATTTTGTGTGATTATATTTCCACACATGATTTTCTCATCCCATTCTCTATATCTTATTTAAAGGGTTTTATTACTTCTACAAACAAACAATGTTGTTAGATTCACATTTGAAGGCGGCTGCTTCCGTCAGATTGATGGTGTTGTTATAGGGAGCCCTTTGGAGCCCCTTTTTAGTAGATATCCATATGTCGTACATTGAAAGTTTATCGGAATATTAAATCGAAAATGCGCCACCCTATAGAATATACTTTAATCATAAGTGAGAAGTCTTTTTCTGTCACCTCAAGTTTAAATCGAATGAATGAAGTTCAACAGAGCATATCACTTATGTCTGTAGAAGAGACTATGGGTGATCGTTGCTAAGCTCACAATGACATCAGAAAATACAACAAAAATGAGTTGTATTGCTGAAGCCCTATGTTCCCCTCGGAACCCAAAGGAACAATGGAATTGACTATGCGCATCAAATACAACACAAAAATGATTTAATTTTCAACTATTGGTTTTATAGGGATTTTGTTTGATTGTATGGGGGATTTCATCATGAGCTGATATCAGTTAGGCCTCCAAAGCCTCAGGATGGTCGGGGGTGGGTGTCTTGCGCTGCGGGCTAGCCACCCCTCCGTACACCTCTTGAAATGCTCCCATATGACCGGGAGTCTTACATAGCCTCTCCTGAGGAAGTCCTACTCACTGCCTTCACGTGGCGGAGGTGTTTTTCACCGAAGTGAGAGGGCAAAAGCGGATACCCGGCGCTCTTCACTGGGTTGACTGTCCATTGGATGACAGTCTAGGGGAGATGGTTAAACCCTGATTCCAAACCTCCAACGACTGGCGTATGAAGCTCACCGGAGTTCACCGGCAGACGTATGGACAAAGGGCTTATTGGATGCCCTGGATGTCTGGCCCCATTCAAAAAGGCGTATGGACCGGACTCCGATCACCGGCTGCCAATGGATAGTGGACTCCCTACTCCACTCCTACTGCCTTGTAGGTCACACTTGGCTGTGTAAAGGCTAGAGCTGCACTCTCAAACAAAAGGCCGAGCGATTCTGGGGACATCACTCGTACCCAATTCCCATGAAACTTCATCAACTCTCTTACAAACATTCGAGATGTTCATGAAGCCGGTTCATCCTCCCGTAGGAGATAGCCGAAGTAAAGTAAAAGTGATATCAGTTAGAGAACAACTGGAAAATCTGCTAGTACTGGAAAGCTATTTCCTTCGTCTTAGTCTGTCTGGACTCTTCATCACTACGCACCCACCCCACTGGCGATGGAACCCAGGATCTTCTGATTACAAGGTAAGCTCGTAGACCATTGAGTCACTGAGACCTGATACGATCGCCCATGAATACTAACTTCTACCAATTCACGACATAGCTTTACCATTTTGCAATGTCTTCTTCCGATGAGTTACTGCATCATCTTCAACCTGCTGCCCCAGCCCCACTGCGTCAAGTGGCTCAATGGTGTACGAGCTCGTCGTGTAACCAGAAGGTCCTAGGTTCGAACTCCGGTAGGTGTGTACTGATGTAGAGTTGCAGACAGACTAAGACGAAACACCTGGTGGTCATTCAGTTCTCTCTGGCTTTCAGGAATGAAATTATTCAAAAACCCCAATCCCAAAAAATCTCATTATCTACACTAAATTATATATACGTTATGACAGGTTATAGGCGATAGATGTTAGTTAGACATTCATTCTATTGACATCGGACAAGTAGATTTAGCCACACACACACACACACACGCACACACACATACACATGCACGCAGACACCCAGGGGAAGAAAACACCACCTTATTGATTATTGGTGCGTTATACAAGGGGAAAACAAAACAGAAATTAACCTTTACATGACTGGCTAACTCTAACATGACAGTTTTATTGATGCATACATATATGCATATACAACTGAATGCCTTAATGCATACAGTCATATATGTATACTGTTGTATATATATACATGTATATGAAATTATTGATTAGTATTTGTTGATTTTTGATTGTTGTTCATATTGTTGTTTATTTTTGTATTCAGAATGCGTCAGATTTATCGAATGATTGAATTAGATCGTATAGGCAAGGCAACATTATTAAAGAATATACAGTATTGTATAAACGTTATGGAAAATGCGTATATAGCTGAGAAACGGTAAGTTGCTTCTGAGTATTCCTATGACTATGAATGTTATTTATTATTATGATTGCTATTCGTTTTTCTACATCCATTTTCTGTGCTTTTAATTCATACCAACTTCTATCATATTTCAATATTTTAACGTGGTTGTGTTCTCTTAGCTAGCTGGATGGTTTATAGTTGTGAAGCTTTCATTGCCCGCCCGCCTGCCCGCCCGCCCCACTAGGCAATATCTTCAGCGCATACACTTCAATTTGATGAAATGAGCTTTTAGATTTCTCCGCGAGTTCACTATTAGTCATCTCTTCTGGTGGTGGTGGTGACCTTGAACAACATCGTGACTGGTTGTTTTTGTAAGTTTTTACACCCACGAGGTTGCTTGTGTTGAAATTGATTGTTTCTTTCACCTGAAGTTTGACCCTTTGTGTGTGTGTGTGAGATTTCCTTCTCATTGGTTGGTAAATTTTGTCTGTGTCGATATATCCATTGTTTGATGATTCACTGGAATACCAGGCAGGCTTCTAAAAATTCTCTAGCATTCTTGGTATTTCCTCTGTCTAATATCTGAACGTTGGTTGTCCCAGTCGAATTGATGTCTGTAGTTGTCTGTATGCAGTGGGGTTGATATGAGTGAGGGAGTTGATGTCATGTCTTTTGACGGCTAGCTTATGTTCATTGATACAAAGACGAAAGGGAGGTGCACCGATAAGAAGGAAATCTCGCACAGAAAAGGTCAAGGAAACTATCACTGCCTAGAGAATGTGAAAGCACACAAAAGCAACCAATCACGTTCAAAGTTATCGCCAGGAGAGGTGACTAATAAATTTGTGGAGAAATCTAAAAGCACACTTCAAATTGAAGTATCCACTGGGGTGAGGACGTTCACTAGTAGGCGAATGAAAGCTCAGCAAATCAACTATCCAGCTCGAAGAACACAGTCGCATTAAAATGATCCACCAGAACTACAAATCTTTATGATATACAATTTAATGTTATTAATCTTCGGTTCAAATTGTGGGTATAGGGAGAACGGGCGGTCAATGAGTGTCACTCATGTTGAATTGATGAAAGTCAGAATTCATGCATCACTGTATTTCAAGCCAGTAAGTGTATGCTCGATGAAGGGTGGGTTTCAAAAACTGAATAGCCTAGGTCTAAACTGTGATTAGGTCGTGATAGAGTAGCGTTGAAGAGTGACAAACATTAAAACCAAGGAACAGATGCCCAGATGTCTTATTCGTCTTCTTAGTTCTCAAGGATTCTGGATTTGATGTTGGTTAGTGTCGAAATTTATGTTCAGATTAGTCAAAATATCAATCTTTGCATTAACATGTATCATTTAATATTCAATTTATTGACCATTTCTTACTACTACTTATGGAACTTTTAACAAATGTGAGTATGCAAGAATATTTGAAGATATTAATTTATATTAATATAAATATACAGAAGACAGGGGTACATTTGACCAACAAGAAGACTCTAAATGATCTGGACATTGTTTAAAATCTATTTTCAATGTAACGTAACCTTGGAGATATACAGGCGAAAACCAAGAAACCGGCAGAAGAAGCGTACACTGAAGACATGAATTCAAGTGAACATAAAGAAGATGGGGGTGATGAAGATATCTACTGACCAACGATAATACGTACCAATCAGTATCAAGGGGAGAAAATGGCAAGCGGTTACTTCTTTCGCGCTCTCTCTCTCTCTCTCTCTAATCTAGACTGCATCGTTCCATCTGCAGACAGCAGAGATGAAGCTATTAAAACCAGGATCTGAAAGTTAAGACAAACCTATATCCAGCTAAAGTCATTTTGGAAATATAAAGAATAAGATTCCGAATTTTCAACACAAACGTCAAGTCATTTCTTCCATATGGATCAGAAATCTTGTGCGTCATCAAAAGCACTTCCAACAACTGCCTTCTGTGAATTCATAGTTAAGATTAGATGGATGGGTAGGAAGAATCAACCAGCAACCTATCACCCAACAAATATGCCAAATAAAATTTTAAAAAATTGATTCGATGCACACAGTGAAGACTGTTGGGTTTATTTATGTACTAGTAGAGCGTGACGAGTTGGGTATGGTTTTGTGGGTGATATGAAGGCGATCATGTAAGGAGTTGGTCTAGGGGAAATCGTGGCGATAGATAAAAGAAGACGTCAGAGAAGAACAGGGAGAAATGGAGATGCACTGTTGAATTTGTACTATTCTACTCGTGAACCAAGGGAATAATAACAATACGAGTATATCCATGCACGATTAACACACACACACACACACAAAGAAATGATTCATGTTTTTTTCTATACTGTTGGTGATCATAAAAATGAACCTTAGTCAGTCTGAGACGCAGAATAGACGAATGGTTTATTACAACTGGATTAAAGCATTATATTCATACTCCGCATTCTCAAGTGTACGGAGAATAAACAACGACAAGTTGGATATCCTCAGGGTGAAACAGTGAAGACCATGTGAGGATGGAAAGGAAGTTTTGATAGCAGTGGAGGAGTCACTTGAAAAAAGAGTTACACAGAAAAGAGAGAAGTGTTAACAATAGTAGAAAATGGCTAAAGTTTGAATCACCGATCAATAAAATGGATACTTGATAATTAGGATGAAGAATTTAGAGTTGTGCATTCACTCCTGCCTAGATGTCATCATTTCAACTACAAGCACCACGGAGGAAAATGTTAAGGCCAGCAAAGGATCACATCAAGAAAGCAAGACAGGATTTGATTACTTTGATATCAGTATAAAAACATATATGGCATGTTTTACGAGTTGATCACGGATTGATATCAGTTAGAGAACCATTGAAAACCAGGGAGTACTGGACAGCTGCTGTTTCATCCTAGTTTGGGAATCATCGGCAGTACGCACCCACTGGGTTTCGAACCCAGGACCTTCCGGCTACAAGGCAAGCTCGTATACCATTCAGCCACTGGGACCCGATTCAATGGCTCGTGAATTCTAACTTCTAGTGAGAAGTCGTGACCAGTGAGGTCCAACTAGATGTCACGTGTGTGGATGGATGTCCCACCAACGACAATGGTTGGGGTCGCGCTAAATCACGAATTGGTATAAGCTAGAATTCACGAGCCATTGAATCGGGTCCCAGTGGCTGAATGGTATACGAGCTTGCCTTGTAACCGGAAGGCCCCGGGTTCGAAACCCAGTGGGTGCGTACTGCCGATGATTCCCAAACTAGGATGAAACAGCAGCTGTCCAGTACTCCCTGGTTTTCAATGGTTCTCTAACTGATATCAATCCGTGATCAACTCGTAAAACATAACTAATCCTTACAAACCAAAACATATATGGCAATCAACACAGGGAACGAGATCAGATTACTTAAAAATAATGTCAAATTATTGCTTATATAGGCTACATAAACTTGATGCATCACCAAAAGCTTTTCTATGACGCAGAAACCTATCACCAACAGGTGTCCCGCCTCTAATCCACAATATATTGCCCAACAAATGGTCACTGAACTCATATTGTGAAGAATTGCAACTTAAATTACACACCAGTCCGTCCGTCTATTGGTGAGCGAATGAACAGTAATGTGGAGATGATCATTCTAATCTAATCCTCTATGTAGATTTCAAGATTTGTCAGGAATTCAAGGGAGACCTAGTTTCAATTGTTTGACTTTATCGTGAACCAAAATCAGTTAGAGACAGTAGGGAAAACTAGGGAGCACTGGACAGCTTTCTGTTTCATTCGGTTTTGAAACTCTTCAAAATTACGCATCTATGATCCAACCAGGGTTGAAATCCATGACCTTCAGATTACAAGAGCAAGCTCACTAAACCATTCAGTCACTTGGACCTGTGTATACTGCTGAAGAGTATAAAAAGTATAGACCGAAACGACTGGCTATTCAATTCTGTGTGATTTTCACTGATGTGTAATTAATGTTTTGAAATTTCCAGACCGTAGGTGTTACGAACTTCCTGGAATAATTTAAGCGCCGAGTCAGATTGATTCATTATAAATTATTTTAATTAATCCCAGCGTGTTTAACAAAAAATCAAAACAATATTTTTCTGAACGTTGCGTTCTCTTACTGACACAATGTTTCCTTAATTTTCTTTGAGCGAACCGGTGAAATTACCTTTTATTATTATTATTATTATTGTATCCTTTAGTTCCTAGAGGAACATAGGGCTTCAGCTGCGCACCTCCATTGCCTTCGGTTTTCTGACAACTTTTTCACCCTGCTCCAGGTCTGTCCACATGCTTTCATCTCCTCTTCGCATGACCTCCTCCAAGTCACCCCACCCTTGGACGACCAACTCGCCGCCTCCCTTTCGGGTTCCACTCGAGCGATGGCTTGTCTAGTGATGTCGCTTTATGGTTTCCTCAGGGTGTGACCAATCCATCTCCATTTCTTTCTGCCTATTTGTTTCACAATCGGTTCCTGGTTGGTTCTTTCATTGCCAGAGATCCCTGTTGCTGATCTTTTCTGGCCATCTGATCTTGAGTATTGAGCGGAGACAGCTGTTAATGAAGGTTTGAAGTTAGTTTGAGATGCTCTTTATGACTCGCCAAGTCTCTGATCCGTATAGTAGCACTGACTGACTTCACATTGGAGTTGAAAATCCGGATCTTATTTTTGATTACCTTTTAGAGTAATAGTATAACAGCAGAAGGCAAGACACGGAAGCAAGTGTATATTTTCTTCAAGTGATCAAACAGCTATTTAAATTTATACATTTCATATTCTTTAAGCAATCACTCAGCATGTGATTCCCGCTTACACTAAAAGACATGATATAGAATGTTCAAACATATTAAACTGTGGGAATATGTGAGAATAAGCGTTGCTGATTAGTGCCAACTAGCCCGAAACCTAAGTGAAGCAAGGCTTCCTGTGGCCGATTGCCTCCAACACTATCATCTAACATCATCAAATCAATGTGTGCACCGTGATGGCGAGCTAACTAGAATGGTGGCCACATTGCAAAACCTGACTGACTCATAGAATTCAGTCT